TCCGTCCATCCATCCATCCATCCATTTATCATCCGTCCATTTATCATCCATCCATCCATCCCTTAAATTGTCATCTGTCAATCTATCGTCATATCCATCCATCCATTTATCATTTGTCCATCCATCTATGATTCTATCTCCCCATCCATCCATCCGTCCGTCCGTCCGTAAGGCCTATAAACCTTTAGGCTTTCAGAACCTTTCCTGTTCTTTACATGTAAATTTGGATTAATTTAATTGATTTAAATTCGGTGCAGGATCTCACAGTGTTTTTCCCCAGTGTTTCTCAGATGTTCCTCTGCCACCTTAAACCCGCTTGTACACTGTGAACACTGTTGGCTCTGTGACGAATCGTTTCTATTCCTCTATTGTTAGTCTCTTCGGATAAGAGCGTCTGCTAAACACACACATGTAAAGGCACAGTTTATCTTTCAGGACGATGTTGTGTTTAGTTCCTCGATGGATTAGAGTTGATCTGACACACGAATGCCTCAGTGACTGATTGTAAATCTGTGAGCTTTAAAACCCAAGGCTTAAACGCTCCAGGAATACCCTTGACTCTCCACAGAGCCGGGTCACAATGCTGACCTATAATTATCAGCACGAGGTCAGCGACAGCTGGGTCAACATCCCGCCGAGTGTCCGAGGACTGCTGTCACGCCTCAGAATCCACCGCTGATGGGTCTGGAGAGGTGTCCGTGTCCGGACAGGGGTGGTGCTGGAGTTTTTTTAAGACACTGGAGTTCATGTTATAAGTGTAGCGACTCTGTTCACAATACAGCATGCTCTCAGATGCCTTAGTGCTTTTATAAAAATAAATCTCCATAGATTTCAGCAGAAATTCAACAGTTCTACCTAATGCTTATTGATTATTTTAATATCATATTTGGTTATGCCTTCATCAATCAATATGTTTCAAAAAAAGTTTGTCTGTGCACTACTTATTTACTTACTTATATACTTACTACTTGCCTTAGAAGAATGTAGTAGAGCTGTACAAATTGGGGAAAAAATCTAATTGTGATTGCGATTTAATAATAATAAAAAAAATAAAAAAAATGAAAAATAAATAAAATAATGAAATGAAATGAAATGATGAAATGAAAAAATAAAATAATGAAATGAAATGAAATAATGAAATGAAATAATGAAATGAAAAAATAAAATAAAATAAAATAAAATAATGAAATGAAATGAAATGAAATAATGAAATAATGAAATTAAATGAAATTAAAATGAAATGAAATGAAAAAATAAAATAAAATAATGAAATAATGAAATGAAAAAATAAAATAAAACAAAACAAAAATGAAATGAAATAATGAAATGAAATAATGAAATAAAAAAAAAATAATAATAAAATAAAATAAAATAAAATACAGGTTTGCAGTGTTTGTTTGTAGGGCTGCACAATTTGTCCAACATTTTGTGATTAATATATGATAATAATAATAATAATAATAATAATAATAATAATAATTACTACTACTAAATACAAATATAAACATTATAAAATAAAAACAAAATAAGAAATATTACTATTGTAATATTGAGTATTTAAGAAATAATAATAATAATGATAATAATTTTATTTTATATTACAATTGTAAATTGCAATACTAATATTTATTATTATATTATCTTAATTTCTTTATTTTCAAGTGGTGAACCATCAAACTTTTATTTTGACAGAAATCCACAGAGAGTCCCTTAAAAGCTGCTCTCTTGTTGATAAATGCTTCTCATTACAAGAACGGGAAAATGTTTGCCGCATGTTGAGTTCACTCCGAAACACAACGTGCACATATTTATTTAATTAAATCACAACCTTATCACGATTTCGGTTTTATTACGATTAATTGCCCTACCATGTAGGCATTAGGCAGCTCATTATGTTCTGTAAAATGATTTGTTTTGGTTCAAAGCTCCTGCAGCTCATGAGGTGCAGCTAATAATGTTTGATTTACAGTCACGTAAAGATGATCCAATTATCATATCTGATCCGGTAGAGCAGCTGAAACTGCTTTTATGTCTCTGATTGAAGACACACGCTATCGTTCCATTAAAGCATCGCAAACGTCTTCAACAATGCACATGTTCTGCATTCGAGGCTCTTCCTGGCTTTGAAGCCGCTGGACCGTTATCCTTGACATCGGGTGCACAAC